GGATTAAAATACAATAAAATACATTCGATTGTTTTCCAAGTAAAAATAAACCACGTGATCTGAAAGCTTCTTTGCCCGTATTTTGAAAATTTATACCCGGAAGTCAATGTAACGGCAAGGGATTTTATTTCGAAAGGTGGCGGAAGTGGTGTTATTTTCCTAGCGAGCTGCACAGGAAGAGGATAGTCAACAAATAATACTGTTGTTTGGCGTGTTTGTGGTTCTGTAACAGCGCTGGAGTTACTGTGGAGGTGACTAAAAGCCGACACCAAACAATTTAGATTAGCACTCGTTGCTCCGTTCGCGCGGAGACTTCCTGGAAAAAACGAAGTTCGTTCTTCAGGTTCCACAGCTAGCCTGTTAGCCTCCGCGGCTAACAACTTTTCATTCATTACTGGCTGTGTATGTTTTCCTCTTTGTTGCCAGCTAACGTACGGCTTCACAGCAGCATTACCGTTCGGGGCAGCAGACGTTTAATTCGTTAATAGTTTATTTTTGATGCTATTATTTTCATACAACTTAAGCCATAGTCAGGATGTCCTCATCTAGTTTCGATTATTGGCTGCTTTTATTTCTCTAATAATTTTTGAGCTGTTACACAAAACTAGATCAGTTATGCTGCAACAGTACGTATTGTCTCGTTCTTTTAATGTCGGCTCTGTAATGATGTATCCAAATACATATTTAAAAAAAATCAAAGAATTGTTTGAAATTATAAAAATAACCTCTGTTGTTAGACAGATGGCAAGGCTTTTTAATGTATATTACATTAATACACTAATGTAACAAATGAAGTGTTAAAAGACTGCAGTAACTGTTGACACTGCTCAGTTCTGTGCCTTTCTTGATTATTTTTTATTTTTAGTCCTTTCTACCTGTCCTGTCCGCCCATGATGGTGATCGTGGGGCTGTAATGAAGGAGTGATCAGAAAGACCCCGCGGTCTTCTTGCTGCGCCACACACTTCCTCATGGATTCCAGCGGCGATGAGGCGCTCGACATCATCATCACCAACGTGGTGGCCACGTTCAGGACCAGGTGCCACCTGAACCTGCGCACCATCGCCTTAGAAGGAACCAATGTCATCTATAAGCCCGAGGTCGGGGTGAGTTAGCCATAATCTTTAAAGTAAAATCTATAGAAATTTTCCTTCAGCTGTTGGAGAAAAGTGGGATTTAAAAGATAATGAATGGTCATTTTGTTTTCCCAGAAAGTATTGATGAAACTTAGGAAGCCCAAGATAACCGCTTCAATCTGGTCCTCAGGTAAAATCATCTGCACTGGAGCAACAAGGTAAGACAATGTAATTATACTTAAAATTCGCATACCCAACAAATAGAACTAGTGTGCAGGAGGTCTGGAGAACTATTTCTAAAAACAGTTAAAAGATTCAGGAAGGCTGGTTTCTTTGAGAAAAGTGGGGGGAAAAAAGGGTGACTCTGTTTTTAGCTGATTTGGATTTAAACTCTGAATTGGTTGTAAACACTGGTATTCAAATGGACAGCGCAGAAAACAATGCTGGTGCACAAGTTTTCTACCCAAAGACTCAATTGCAGCCCTAGTCCTTAGTTAGGCTTTTTAAACAGTAAAGAAAAATAGTACTACAATTGTCAAAACTATTAATACAAAAGATATGAAATGACAAAATCAACAACCAGACCATACATTTTTCAGAAACACACACATGAAGAGGAGAAATACAAAAACACATTGCACTTTTCAAAGCACTGTTTTGAATCGAACAGCGCGTTGCATCATTTATACTTAAAGGCTTTCACTGTGTCCCTGTTACTATGGTTACCCCCTTTGGATACAGACTGAGGCAGCACATTAATGCAAAACAGCAAACGCAGTTTTTATGTAACCAAGGAAATGTTATCAGGAATAAATAAATGTCTTACATTCTGAATACTTATGGAGTGTTTTTTTAAAAAAAAAAACAGAAACTACTGATAACAGTGATGATGCAGTTTAAGTCTGTTGCTAATGCTAGTACAGTTTTGAGATTTTGAGCGCTGTAAGGGTCACTAACTAAGACTGAGCTTATTTTTGTTTGCGTTGTATCTGTTTTGCATGTCGAAGCATACAAAGTAATGTCAACTCATTCCTCTTCTCTCTTCAGCGAGGATGAAGCAAAGCTGGGTGCTCGCAGGTTAGCTCGCCTTCTCCAGAAACTTGGCTTTAAGGTGAGAAGGATATAATACAAACATTAATCTTGGATTGGTGTGATGGGATTGATTTTTTTTTTTTACTCGGTTGCTCCCGTTGCAGAAGTGCAGATCTGCGTCAGAGCAGGCAGGAAGAAGCGAGATCAAATATAGAGAGTGAACAAAGCAAGCACAGCAGATCATTCTGTCAGCTTAGATTGCACAATCTCAGATCTGATCCCCACATGCTAAAATGTGTAGCATCCATATCGACCTCTGTGAACACAGCCTGCTGCGTGTGACATCACATCTTCTGCACATAAGGCTCTGGGGTCGGATTTATAAAGCTTGCATACGCACAAAACGAGCCCAGAAACTTGCGTACGCCACTTTTCACGCAAATGTTGTGATTTATAAAATCCAAACTTGACGTGAAAACGTGAGGTGCCTCACGCCAGCTCTGACCCATGCCTACGCTCATTTTGGAGACAGGAAACTGCGACACGGACGGTGAAGTGAGGAATTAGAGCCACACTGTAATGATCTCTGTCAGATATTTAATTTCACTTCATGACTTCGATTTTAGATAGACTTTAGCTTTCTTAACAGTATTATTTATTCTGCTGCTGAGCCATAAGGATCTTTGAAATAAAAAACTTCACTCTTAAATAAAAGTCCACGCAACTCCATCCATCTCCCTCCTCCTCAGACGACCCTGACCCACAGACCCCTCCCTGGCAAGAGACATTTCAACAGCACCACGGCAAAAGTCCATGCTTTGGGTACTCGCCCCTCACCAATGTGGATGTGTCAGGATTCACTTTTTAAAGTGTATTTCTCACGCGCGCACGGGGATGTGAGTGGGGTGAGGAGACGGTCAGCTGGAGATAACAGCAGGCCGGACGGGGGAGGATGGGGGAGAAGAGCGGTGAACTTATTTCTATTTTCTCTGACTTATTTAAATTTATTTATTGTTTTTATCATCCTGCAGGCTCTGAGAGAAAATTAATCTGAAGCTGAGTTTCTGAAAAAAAAAATGGTGAGATTGCTCTAAACGTGTGTAAACCTGCAAATTGAGGGAAAATCTGATTCAGTTATAGACATTCTGTTCACGTGAGCAGCTGTCAGCACCTGTCCTCCTCCAGATGCACGACAAAGTGTGTCTGAGCCAATCACTGATCAGCTGACTGATTTAAATACATCTTAACATTCATGAGGTGTTTTGCATTGACTGTTTATGGTTGAGTCTGGGCGTATAGAGGACAGAACCTGAGGCGGGACCTTGTGCTCAAACTCTGAGGTGAAGCTGTGATTTATAAAGGAAAGGTGCGCAGAAACATGCGTACGCACGGTTTTATAAATCTGAATTTTTTTTTGGCGTACGCCATTTTCAGCTTTTGGCCGTACGTTCACTTTTAGTATGGTTTCCACACAATCCTTTATAAATGAGACCCCTGGACTGTTCCCACTTGAGCTGGACCTAAATTATAACTTGGACTACCACACCAAAACAATGCAGCTCTTAGCAGAAAAATATGGGAGCATGGAAGCACATTCCTCAGTAAATTTGACTTTAAAAGTTTTGAGTATTTACTGAGCATGTGTTTTAATCTTTCTCGTGCACTGCAACCTCAACTCTTAGCAGTTATTTACAGGGTGCACAAATGAAGTTTAAATGCAAACCTTCGCATTATTGAGGCTTTGCAATACTCTTGTATTTTTGTGTTTCTTGTCCGTTCAGGTGAGGTTTTCAGCGTTCAAAGTTGTGAATGTGCTCGCGGTGTGCTCCATGCCATTTGCAGTCCACCTTATAGACTTCACAAAGAACAACCGACCCATCGCCAGGTAGTACACTTACTACTGTTTAGACCCAACTGTTGCCTTTTTTTTGTAATCCTGATCTATGAGGTCAAACAGAATTTGATTAGCAGTCTTTAGACCTCACATGTGAGTCATTGATCTTCAAGACTATTAAACATTTTGATCACACATCAAATAGCTTTACAATCATTGTAACTGATTTTTAGTTTTGTCCAGGTTTTTGCTGTCTGCTGTTCTTAAACTTGTAATATTACATTTGTTTAACATTTGCTGTTTTAGACTGACCTCTAGTGGCTAAAACAGTATTCTGTAATTTTTTTTTCTTAGTTTTATACTATATAAACTTAGCCCAAAAAATAATGACATTTGTGTTTAGTAGATTATTCCTTTGTTGTAACAATGCTTCTTGGTAATAAATCTTGTATTGGGCACCTGATTGGCAGCACCTGGGGGTCCCAGAAGCTCAAAACAAGCAACAGCAAAATAAACTGTTTTGGCAGGGAAGAGTTGGCAAATGTTTCATGTGTGGAACCCACATCCTCAGCTCTACTACTACTATCTACTATCCCTCAAATGCATGTTCCTTACAAATGTGGCACCATTTAAAAGGGAAATTAACAGGCTTTCCAACAATTTAAGATTTATTGCCAAGAAGCATTGTTACAGCAAAGAAATAATCTACCAAACACAATGTTTATTACATTGTGTGCCCAGTATAGTTGTTACAGTTTTAATACTTTTGTGAACTATTGGGGGGGATAAATCTAGTCCTTTCTGTTTACTGAAATAAATTTCTAACTTTAATCCTCTTTCTGTCAGTTATGAACCTGAGCTCCATCCTGCTGCTATGTACAGAATCAAAACTCTGAAAGCTACAGTCCAGGTGTTTTCAACTGGCAGCCTCACAATTACAGGTTTGTCAGTCACACACACACATACACACTCTTTCCCTCCCTCTCTTACACACAGCTTAATGGATTAGGGTCACGCTGTCATAATAATCTTTTGTAGTCTGTTATCAAATGTTTTGTAAATAAAACAAACAATATATTGGTAAAGCTTCAATGTTTCTCCTATTCTTTTAGATTTCATGCAGTTTCACTGCTAGCTTCTTTGTTTTCCTCGTCCTTAAAATGTGTTCTTTCTGCTGTCCTTTCACCGCACTTTAATTCAGGACCAAATGTGCAGAACGTGGCGGCAGCAGTGGAATACATCTACCCTCTTCTGTACGAGTGTCAGAAACCCCTCTGTAAGTAAAGGAGCATTTCACAAGTTCAGAGGGAGATATGAGGAAGCACTTCATCTTTGGTTGGATGTGGCAACAGACACTCATGTCTGAACTGACTCATAGACTGGACTTGGATCTCTGAAGTCCTAACCCCCCCACCACCACCCTCACTTGGAGTTTAGGATGCTTATGCATGGACACAGGAAAAGAAAAAAACAGTTTTAGTGATGTAACTTTTAAAGCTTAACAGTGATTATTGCTAAGAGTTTGTGTTCAGACTAAGAAGCCTCCTCACAAGGAGTTTCTTTTCTTTTAAATAAAACAATTTTAATCTCCGTCCACAGTCCGACATGCGTTTCATACTGTGCAGAATTCTGTGAGAAGGCTGGAAGATTCAGAGCTGTTACCTCTGTACACAAAGCTGAAGCAGGTTTGATGTGCATAAAAACGTTTTCTTTTTTTAAAAACTCTTGCATTTGTCCAAAACGAGCACACTTTCTGGTTGTATTATTGTTTGTTCCTAATGTTTTTACATGCAAATTTGGATATTTATTTTCTAATGTTAGTCTGCAAATATGAAACGTTTCCTTTTTAATCCCAGTATTTCACAACATCCTAGCTTTCAAAACCTCATCCGACTCCGCTAACACAGCTCCTGGTTCGTTAACGTTCAAAAAGACCATTTTTTATCTTTATTGATGTTATGAAACACTCGGTTGTGAACGCGATGAACAAAGTAGCAGAAGGTTAATGTGAAACCACAAATGAGCGGTCGCTCCGAGGACTGTTGTACAGCGGCAGTAACGTTTATCAAACTGTGTTGTAATACATTCATTAGAGCTTTTACAGCAGGATAAACTTTACGACTTTAAAAACACAGTGTGGGAGAAAAAACAAACAAACAAACAAACTTTATTTGTCCATAACAGCCGATTGCTCCGTCAGGCTTCACGTCACAGAGGAAACTTCTGTTTGTATAAAATGTTTGTGTCTAAAAAGAAATGTTAGAAAAAACTTTGATGTCTGTGGGATGGAGTACGTTTTAAACTAGTTTCAATTAAGAATTTGTGACACTTCAACTTTTGTATTTTGTATAAAAATAAAATGATTAAAAGACTCCTGATGATTTTTTTTCTGTTTGGGTTTTGCCACTAGTTGTGAACATGATCTGAGCTTATATTTATCAAACTTTTTAAAGGAATTTTAGACTTAAGTGCTGAGAATTTCTTCAATTTACTCCTGCTTTCAGGTGAGTATAAATGATAGTCTTTTCTCTAGAAGTGTGTATTTATACAAAATAAGCAAACATGACGTATGAACATTGTGTTGAATGTGAGCTTAAGATTTTCACTATTTTATCTTGACATTTCTCGGAGAATATTCTGGAACATGAAATCTGATGCAGTGATTGGTCCGTGTCGTAAATCAGCTCTAAGACTGACTTAAGATTTAGTTTTTCACATCGCTTAAAGTGAGACTGAGACGCTTGATAACTGCCTTTTAAGCCCAGCTTTTAAGATTCTTTTTACACTTAAGTCCATTCTTAACAGCCTTTCTAAGAAGTTCGATAAATACAATCTGATCACTTTAAAAACTAATTTTATTTAAATCTACTGCATATCAAAATATTTAAGAAAGTATTGTTAACATAACAGATCAGCCACAAACTAATTCTTCCAGGTTCTACTCGTTAGAAATGATGTAAAACTTTAATGTTTTGTGAAGATTTAGCAGCCAGAAACAAGCAGTTTTGTTTCCAAAATACGTCAATAATAAAACTGGTTTGAGGTGTTTCCATTGTTGTAGAATTTAATGGAAAACCTCTGCACTAAAAACACATTTTTCAGGTTTTTAGGGTTTGTTTTTTTTTAAATACAGGTACTGTAAACTTGTCAAAATGGAGAAAATAACTGAAGTAATTCAGTTTCACCTCTTAGTTCTATCTGGTGCTTTGAGGCTTTGATTGTATTGAAATTGGTCAAAATATACAAACTATGTATTCTTGCATCTAGTTTTGTGTTTTGACCAAAAAAAAAAAAAAAAAAAAACACTACGTAAACCCTGAGCTAAATTGATTTAAGAAAATTCTCAAAGACAGTTCTCTTCTAGGTGTGTAATTTCCATTATCCCTGCTCAGGTGTTTTATAAAAAAAAAGGAGCTAAATAATGAAATCCAGCTACCACTGCAGGGATGTAAAAACTATTTTTCTTCACTCTCAGGTTACAGCAGGTGAACGGCTTTAAAAGGCTCAGTTGTTTCCTGTTCTGCACTCCTGTTGATCAGGCTCTGCTGTGGCTGCGCCGGCCTAAAGATGTTCGCCTCCATGTTCTTCCTGGTGAACCAGAGAAAGAAGAAACAAAATACAGAAGAAATCAGTTTTTTTCCAACAGCTTACACGACCGAGATAATGTTTGAGCCGCCTCTTACTTCTTTGCCAACTGTTTTGAGATCTCCTCCAGCGTGCGGCCTTTGGTCTCAGGGACGCAGAGGATGACGAACACCAGCAGAACAAAACTCAGGGCGGCGTACAGGAACATCACGTTAGGAACACCAATCTTTTCTAAGATGAAGAAATGGTCTTTGTCAGCTCTGCTTAGTTCAGACAAGAAAAATATAATACGGGACTATTCAACTGGTGGCCTGTAGGCCACATTTGGCCCATGGGTCACTTCCGTCCGGCCTGCCAATGAGTCAAATACTGCGATATAATTCAGAAAGTGGCTAAATAACTGGATTTTGTATGACATGTCCCTTATGCAGACTGGGACCACTACGTCACACATGGGTGGCCAGGAAAATTACATAATTCTTTAACTGAAAGATTCTGCAGATCTTTATGTTTTCCTCATTTCCTTATGTCCTTATACAGGCATTGACTATAAACATGGGTGTCAGAACCATTTTAAAAGTGGGGGGACACACTGTTATGGGGTCTGGGGGTCCACCCCCAGAAAAGTTTGAATGAATTAGATGCCATTTCCTGCATTCTGGTGTATTTTACCAGGCTGATTAACATACTTTTACCTACATAAATAAACACTTAATTTATTAATTATTTCAGAGACAGATTTGTCATTAAACTAGTTTCATTATCCTGATTTGATTTGATTTATTGATTCAACAGGAAAAGATTACTAAAAATCAAGCCTGACTCAGCATAATTGCTGTTTTACAGCAGGTTCCTGTTCTGCAGCACATAAAACACTCAGAATTACAGCATCACAATCACATCATTATACACCATAGACACAAAGACAAACAAGCATACCAAATTTCAAAAAGGCAGCATTTGCAAAATAGGACATCTAAATATGAGCACAACAAAAAGTGTCCAGCAGATGGCAGACAAGATTCTTCTTAAAGGGCTGTAGTTTTGAAATGGACTTTATGTTTTGAGGAATGTCATTCCATGCTTTAGTATAAACATAGAAGAAAGACCTCTGGCCATAACAGTTTTTAATAGTTGGTAATGTCAGTTGTCCTTTTGTAACAGATCTAGTTGAATGACCACTTCCAGAATTTGATTTGGTCTGTTTTTAAACTCACTGCTACAGTTGAGATAAGGTTAATTAATGTGTCACAATTTATCATATCTAATGACTATAGGGGTGCTTTTTACTTTTATATTGTTTATTGATTTATTTTTAATTTTAACACGTCATTGTGCCAAATAATGATGACCTTCAACTGCATGTTTAAAACTAGTATTAATAACTTTACCACAGGTGCAATATTGATAACCACCAACAGTGAATTTAAAGGGGCATTTCACTTTTTCTGACTTAGTGATGGGTCTACTCAGAACCAAAAGGGACAGAGCATCGTGCAGCCTTCATAACAGAAAATTACACTGTGATATTGTGACAAAAAAATAAATATAAATAAAAAAATTGCCATAAGTCAGATTACATAAAGAAAATAATCACTTTTTTGAGCTTGGTGATTTTTCGAACAGTTAAACACTGTTCAGGAGGATTATTACACCCCTAAAGGTTGTTTCACTGTGGAAGGGGTGTGTACAGCGGGGTGGGCAATGGGGTGGCCAAAGGCTCCGCCCCTGCCCTTATGGCTGCTTATGATAAAATGTTCTAACCTGTGATGGTGAGGAAAGTCATAGAAATAAGCAGGTTTGTGGCCCAGTTCACAGCCGACACCACGGACACAGCTCTGCCCCGCAGTCCCATGGGAAAGATCTCACTGAGGATGACGTACACCACTGGAAAGAAGAAAAACAAGAAAGACGTTAAAAACTTAAGAGTCAAGGTTTGAGTTGCATCATCAGGTGTGTGTGTGTGTGTGTGTGTGTGTGTTGAGTAACCTATATACCTAATCCTTGTATAATTGCACTTGTTGAACCTTGTACCTAATTGTGCAAGGTGGTTGAAGCACATATGGATCATATGCTGGTAAGTTGGAAACATTTGTCAAAAACTTTAAGGGGGAGAATACAAAATAAAGGTATGAAACAGCCTGTCTAAACCCAGAAAGGTCAGTTTCTCCATTTGCTTGTGTTCAGATAGTGAGGAAAAAAATTAAATAAAATAAGAATAGTCATGCACTTACTTGGCCCCAGGCTAATGGAGAAGGCTGCCACATAGAGCAGCAGGCTGATCAGTGACGCCCACTTTAGTGAAGAAGAAACTTCAACACGAGTCCTTCCTCCTGGTTGCCCAAACCCCTCAGCATCAGTCCTCAGCACCTCCTCGGGGCTCCACTGACTGGGGGGACTGGTCAAAACATCACTGCTGTTCAAGTCTATAGAGGTTCTGTTAAAATCCAGCAGCACGCTTGTGTGGTTCAGTGTAACCTGGCTTTTGCAGAGGCTGGTGAGGTGAGTGCGGCTCTGCAGAGTCAGCGTACCGAGCGCGGCCAGCGACGTCACCATCGCGACGGCTCCCACGCACAGGAAGCTCTTGGTTCCCACGCGGTCGACCAGCAACACGGCGGGGATGGTACCGACTACTTTTACCACTCCGAAGCCCGTGGAGGCCAGGGTGGCCGCGGCGTCGCTGTCGAAGCCCACGCTGCGAAGGAGGGGCGACGCGTAGGAGAGGATGTTGGGCTGGCCCGTCACCTGCTGGAGGAAGACCAACGCCACGCCGGTGAGCAGCCGGGAACGCAGGTTGGCTCTGCTGCTGAAGAGCTCCCAGAAACTATGCTCCGATTCTTCTTTCAGTCCAGCCTGGATGTCCCGCAGCTCCTCCGCCACTTGCTCCTTAGCTACGCCTCTCATCTTTGCCAGCACGTCCCTCGCCCGCTCCACTTTGCCCTGAGCGACAAGGAAGCGCGGGCTCGGCGGCAGGAAGACGAGCGCGCCCATCTGGAGCAGCGCGGGGGGGATCACGAGTCCGAAGGCGTACGCCCAGCCGTGAGGCAGCGCGGCAAAGGCGTAGCTGCAGCCGAACCCCAGCATCACCCCCACGACTAACATCAGCTCGTACAGCGTGACCAGGAGACCCCTCCTCTCCCGCGGCGAGATCTCGGCGATGTACAGACACGCCGCCGTCCCCGACAAAGAGGTGCCCATGCCGACGATCATGCGTCCCAGCGCGAGCGACGCCAGCGTGGTCAAAGCCACGAGAACGACGGTCCCTCCCACCACCAGCCCCGCGCTCAGGAGCAGAGAGCAGCGGCGGCCGTAGCGGTCCAGAACGGGGCCTCCGGCCAGGCAGACGAGGAGCGCTCCGAGCAGGTGGGAGCTCACCAGCAGTTCCTGCTCCCTACAGGAGAGCGAGAGGACGCCCCGCAGCTGCAGCAGGACCCCGGAGGTCAGGCCCATCTCGTATCCCAGCATCAGGCCGCTCAGAGAGGCCGTCACAGCTGCGAGCACCACCAGCCAGCTGCAAGCTGAGAGGAGGAGCACAGATTTAGACATTTCAGGCACTTAAAGAGACAAGTCCTGGTCTCAAACACACTTTTTTTAAACATTTAAACAGAATATGAACTGTGGGCAGTCATGTAAATGTACTAACTAATCCAACTTATTAAGTCCGGAGGGAAACTCAAGGCACACAAAAGCTTTAAAGACATATTAATGTGTTAAAATAATGTAAAAGTTTTTTAAAACTGGGTCTTTGAGGGTCCCCATAACGCTCAGGTGGCCCTCAGAGAAGGTATAAGGCATAAGGTATAAACAAGCTTTGGCTTCATCATTAATTAGCTTTTTTTTAGCTCATGCTTGGGATCAACATTTTTACTTTCTAGGAATTTATACAACAATTTATTGGATAAGGATGTCCAGGAACGACCCTGGAACCACCACTGCATGGATTTGTGGATTGTTTTTAAACCTTTATTTAACCAGGTAAATTGAGATAAAAAAATAAATAAAAACTCTTTTTCAAGAAAGACCTGGCCAAGAATGAATTTTAAAGAATGAATGAAAAAAATATTAAAATCATTGTGTTATTTAATTATTCTACCCTAGAAAAAGAACAACTCAAATAAAATAAAAGCTACAAAATGACTGACATTCATGAGTGTATCTAAATATTCAACCACATCCATTTCTTACCCAGTTTTTAAAGTTTACCTATTTGTTTGTGGCCGCTCGATGGATCAAGGTTTTTAGTTAACCATGAACAAACTGGTTTTCTACAAACAGGTACACCCACTTCAACAGCGCTGGATAAGTACAGTACTGTGCAAAATTCTTGAACCACTCTTCCTTTCTACTTTGCTACAGAGACGGACTTTACTGCAAGTTTGCAAAAAATGTAAATGAAAACAACCAATGTCCAAAAAAGGACGTTGGCAATGCTTGAAAAACAATTGGTTATGACCAAAAAAATAAATAAAAATGCTGTGTTATTTTTTTCTTTGCAGTGGAATGCATGTAAGGATTGGTGGCTACAGATGGCTGCATTGATCTAAACAAAACACTGATCAACTAATCATATCAATGATCTATTAAATCAGATCCCTCAGCCAAATCTAACCAAACTCTCAGGATTTCCCAAGTGTTGGACAGACATGTATGTAACATAACGCTTCTCACCTTTGGCCTTGGCCCTAAATAACTGCACAAAAGGGAAAAATACTTGCGTATACATACTCTGTCCTTTGGGTGGGGCCAGTTTCTGGGTTTCACAGGAGTGGCTGCCTGAGAGGTGAGAGGTCATGTTGGTCTTGTTGGGGTCCATTGTCAACCAAAACTGACTGTACGTCAAGCACAACACAATGCATACAGTATTAGAAATGCAAAACATGAAAACACAACGGGTCAGTCAAGTTCTTCACAACTATGTATTATTGTAAGAAAAAAGAAGAACATTATCCTAACTCAGTCCTTGTTTATTATCTGCTACTACGCCACGAGTTGTGTCTCCACAAATAAATACACACCTTATATTACTTATTACCTAAATATACGTTGTTGTTTTGTTATTTAATGCTAAGAAATGTATCACTGCAAGCAGAACTTCTCCTAAGAAGTTCCAATTCTGCAACTTTTGAACTGCAATCTAATCAAGACAAAAATTACAAAAAATAAATAAAATAAAATAAAATCTAACCAGACAGCTGTGCAGAACTGCTGTAAAAACACACAATTGACCACAATAAAAACCCAAATAAACACATTTGGGAGAGGCCATGCCTCTGCAGGTGATGACAGTGTTGAAAGAGCAGGATTAGGTCTAAAACGTGCAATAAAATGACTTTATGAACTAAATTAAGCTTAACCCTATTCATTTTCCAAATCACAGCAACTATTTCTTGACATTATTCAGAGCTTGCTTTCTTCTTTTTCCTCCAACTGTAACATTATTCCAAATCTAGACCTGAAACATTGGTGGGTTTTCAATAAAAAAACTTTTTATTTTTTTTATAAAAGCCTTAACTGTCAAAAAGTTAGACGCAGATAGTTATTGGGTGTGTGTGTGTACCTACACGTTATTAAACGCTAAACCAAACATCGCTAAAGCTAAAGCTAAAAAAGCATCGCCAAAGTCTTTACTTACCCATAATGCAAGTTTAAACTCGTCTCGCAACATGACAGATTTAGCAATATGTTTCGGTTGTTACGACAGCTCCTGCCATTGTTCCTACCTGACGCCCCAGCTGTGAAACTGCAGTCGGTTCAAGCTCGTCTTAGTCGAGCCATTCGTCTTCACTCTCAGCTGTTCAGCTCTTGCTTTTTTCCTCTGTCAAACTCTCGTCGGGCTCATGTCAGCTCATGCGCTAGTCTTGTTATGGTAAGGCTTTTTTACGTAGCCCCGCCCTCTTCCGTATTCAGTAGCCAATCAGAGACGGAAGTTCAGCCTCCCGAATTCCCAGTTGATTTCTGATTGGTCCGGGCGCGTCTAACTGCTGGGTGTTCACAGAAAGCCAGTGTAGCCCGAAACTAAAATGACATAACAGGTCAATAAAATGGTCTAATGTAGGGAAATAAATATCAATGTATCGGGGATTGGGCTTATCTTTGCCTTTTAGTCTTTATTTCCAACATTATAATTATAATTAAGAAAACTCACCTGTGTCAACACTGCAAGTGAAAACAACAACAAAAAATTGCCGCCTGCTGTGCTGCAAAGCTCAGATGTTCTACTTTCTGTTACACCTGCTCCTGCTGCTTCAGAAATGACAGAATGTAACCTTTGACACGCCTCTGTTCGGGCCATGCTTGCTTTCACAGACATGCCTTTCAGACCTTCTGACCTGCAGGATCCAAATCCAAAGTGTGGCCTTGTTTAACCCCACATCCCCCACCCCACGCCAGTCATTTGACCCCAGTAAAAGTGTGCATGTGTTCCAGGTATTATAGTGAGATCTGCTGACACATCTATAAAGAAACATGCTTTTGTTGTTGGGGTTGGGGTATGCAATTTTAACCATCTTAATTTTCAAGACAAGCTTTCAAATCAGAATTTGGGTAAGGAAAACAGGAGTTCTGGGTATAGTTTGAGCAAACTGCTAACAATTAAATGTAATTTAGCACATAATAAATTAAAAGTCATAACTACAAATGTGCGTGTGATTACTTTTACTATGTGAACTCGGTAACTGTAATGAAACTAATACTTTTATGTTTAAGCTAGTTATTCATGACATCCTTTAATGATCTAGGTTTTCATGACATGCTGTTCATCTGCAGATAGAATGATTAAAGTCAGAACAAGATTTGCTAACAACAGTCATTCTTAGATATTACTTGTGTTTATCTTTGTGTTTTCCATTGACCTTGTATCAAATCTTGCTAAGATGACATATTGGTGTTTGTTAATGTATATATGAGGCCTCTCGAGACACAGGGAGTAGTGTGGAGAGACAGTGACTGAGAGAAGCAGAGGCACAGAGACAGGCCAGGTTGTTCTCTGTGTTTCCTGTTGTTGCAATAAAACTCAGCTGATCATCTCACGGAGTACCTTCATTCTTGGACCACGTATTTCTGTCTTTGTTAAATAAATATTGCCATGACAGTTTGGCGTTGTTGGCAGGATCAAAAAGCTGTCGTGGCATGATTTACCAAGAATGCAGAAACACGTTGGAATAAATGCACAGAAAGTCTGCGTGTATGGTCGTCAAATGATTTAATTCTGAGCGACAACAAACAGAAGTCAATCAGGAAGTCTGCCGTGTTGTGACTGACTCGTCAGCAGAGAGCAGCCAATAATATAACATCATGATAACATCATGTGACATGCTTATAACCAATCACAGATCGCCAACTGTAACCATCTAACCAATGACAGGGCTGTCAAAATGGAAACACCTTATCAGAAATTAAAGAGGTCATGCATTGCTGGAGTCTTGAAGTCTGGCCGACAGAGTAAAACAGCCAAAACTGGTTATAATAAGATATGATTACTGGGCAGTGTCAAGGTAGAACAGATATACATAATTAATCCATAACAGTAACCACAAAAACGGGGCTTGGCATGTTTGCTGGAGGCTCAAGACTGCCAGCGTTTTCATGTTACCTCTTTAACAGAAAGAAGAAGATAGTTTAGCAAGTTCTAAAAATGTAATGTCACAGCTTTCACAATTTGGGAACAATTTAAACATGGATGTCTGGGTTTCCTTCATATACTTATAAAGTAAGTTTAAACCAAGCATTTATGCAGGGCAGTCACTCAGGAGGAAACAGGGTTACATTTGGGTAGCAGACAAGACTGCTGCAATGAAAACCATCCTTTGTAAATGACTGTCACGTTTTATTTCCTTCATCATATAGGCTCAATAAACTGCTTCAAGCTCATTTTCATACTTTCATTGACTGACACTAGGAGGTGCTGTATAAAAATGAGATTTGGCCATTTTTGTACAAGTTCCTTTGCATTTGCAGGTTCAAAACACGTTTTTCATTAAGCAGTCTGTTATATAATACTGCAGTGCAACAGTATACACTTTTATTTGGTCATGAGAACACCTGCATGGGAAGTCTGAATATGGATTTTGTTAGCATAGCTGAATGTATCCCTGATATATATCTTTTTTTCTAACCAGCAAGTAGTTTAACAAGTAGGACACACACGTTAAAATACATTTTGTTGCATGTTCTAGTGTTTTTCAAAAAAGTAATAAAAGCCCCACAAGACCATTGAGTATATCCCTTTTAGCTGCTCAAATAAGATTCTTCGTTAGAGGACCACCCTGTCATTATGTACAAATACAACACAAGGGCAACGCACATGAAAGGTTTTGGGGATTGTTTCACCCAGGGCCGGCCCTAGCCAATTTGGTGCCCTAGGCAAGATTTCAGGTGGTGCCCCTTGTTCAATTTTCTAAATCTCACTGCCAATTTACACACATTTACATACCAAATTAAATCATTTTGTTTTTGATATTATTTTTTATCCTTAGAAACTAAGTTGTCCAATTAAAATATTTACTAATATCATTCATTTGAAAGAGAATACCAGAAGTCTAGCTCTACCTGCCACCATTTGCTGACAGCAATGAGGAAGACCTGTTCATGTTAACGAGCAGCTGCGGAGTGAAGCAGCTCTAGGGGGTTTCAAAGGCATTCTCCCCTGGAAAAGTTAGTAAAAGATTGACTCAAAATTCAGCAATTTTCAGCCACTTGAAGAGAATTTTACTAAAAGCTGTATTTTATGTATTACTGAAAACTAGACTTTAACCTGAGCTTAAGTCTGAGTAAATATACTTAACTATGACACATTTAGTACATTAAAAAACTAAATGACTATAACATAAATACAAATGCTATCTTAGCAAACTTTGGCTAATATTTAGTGTTTTAAATACATAATTTACATATCAAATGATTACTAGGTGTCACATTTTTGGTACGGAGCCACTGAAGTCAGAGTGATCAGAACCAAAGGGTTATAAACAACATTTAGTTTCACAACAACTCTAGACGAGAGACTGAAAACTGCAACATTACATCACTCCTATCACCAGTCAACAAGTCCTTTCAGAAAAGCTCAAACCTGTCACTGTACTCACATCTGCAGAACTGTGTCCTCTGCACAGACAGGCTGAATCAAGACGCTGCGCAGCAAATCATGCCTGAATGCATCAAAAGTGTCCAAACTCAGCTGTCAGAAAACAGCTGCTGCAAGGAATTTGTATTTGCAGCAAACATCAGTTTGATTATTAACGAATATTAATTATCATGTTCTAAGAATTCATTTTACCAACAGGTTTACTGAGTGACTAACTTCGGGTCGGAGTTCAGGTTCCACATTACATGAACCAAAACAGATGCATTAGTCAGCTGGAAAATGACACATTCATGAGCATTATAAATCGTAAACGTTCTAAAGTTATAAAACTATTTTTCCCAACCTTATCTGATATTGATTGTTGCAAAACATGGTTGTTTATTATTATATTTTTTGTACACTCATGCTGCTAAAAATAAGATGGCTTGATGTGCTGCATTTATTAATTTATTTATCTTTAGGTTAACATCCTAAATGAAACACTTAAGTTTCAGTGGAAAGTTTTCCACTATTTTCAATATTTTCATTACAAGGAATCAGTCAGTTTTAGAGACATTGAGGTAAAATTTGGAGTAGTTAAGAGTCATTCACAACACACAATCTGAGCGCAAACAGACGGGGATAGAGCCAAACGGGTGGCCAGGATGACACTTGCCAACCGTGGTGTGTGATTGGCCACCCCCAAATGACTGACAAGTGGGGTGGGGTTTGCATGTGGCATTTCAAGGATAGGCATACAGTGAGAAACAGTTTTTGCTAGCTGGGGTATGTCAAGGGGATTACTCTTGGCTACCACCGCACCTAATTTCAACGCAGTTGAAATATAT